CTGTGATTAATCTTTGAGACCTGAATACCTTGGCAAATAAAATACTCATATTATTTTGTAAGTTTATTTAGTTTCCTACGTTTTTTTCGTTCTGTATCCGTATTTTGAGCAGATTGACTTGATTGACTTGCTCTTTTGCGACTCCTTTTCTCGATAAGTTTAATGTTCATATAGTTCATTCGTATTATCGTTCTTAATTTGCAAAATGCCCTAATGATATCCCTGGTAACCGTCGTTTCCCTTCGGTTTATTTTTGTGGTTAATTTTTCAACTATTCCTGAACACTTTTTTAATGCATCACCATGGTGCTGCTCAAAATAATTGTTCCACTTTTTAATCTTGATATGCCATTCTCTTGTAGGCTGTATAAGACCACCATATGATAACTGTTGGACCCAAGACGGTAACTGATAACTCTCTTGCTTTTTCTTATAAGTGAAATCACCGAGTGTAGGATTCGTGTTTCTAAATTTTTTTGCAAGATAGCCCGCGATATATTCCAAAGCATCGTTAGTTACTTCAGGACAACTTCTACTAACGTCAGTTGTATTTAGTTCCGATGAAGACGATGCATTTGAAGAAAATGAACTGCTGCTATTCTGGGTCGATTCGTTTTGTAATTCTTCGACTAATGCATCGGATATATCGATATTGGCATTTTTTAGAACACTAGCCGATATATATTCCTCTGGAACTACATCGTGTGTGTTTACTTGATTGTCCAAAATGCCTGGATTTTTGCCCAAAATTATTAACCGCATCCTTTGAATGGCAGCGTTGGGTGTTGGATGTTCGTCTGGTCCTCGACTTCTTATTTGAAAAAAAAAGTTTTCTAGACAATCTTGGTTTAGTTTGTGTGTGCAAATATATTTTAAACTGCCATAGGTAGATTTCAGTTCCAAAAAAAGTTGCTTAAGTGACTTTATAGACATCAAAATTCCTTTTTGAAAAGTTTGCAGGGTGTTCTTTCCAAGTGCACGCATATTTTTTGTTGTGTTGTACATTTTATCGAGACTTTCATCTTGTTCTTGTAAATGAGTTCCATATGCCGATTTTGTGGGAATATTAGCCGTTGACGTATAACTGTTAAATATGTCAAACCATAGGTTGACAATTTTTATAAATTCCGCTGTATTTTCGGCCAATTCTGGATCTTCTCCTGGCCTGTATCTTTTTAAAGCTTCTGCCACGGTATTAGATAATAACTGTGCTGCTAGACGAACTTTTTGTCTCTCGGTTTTTTCAGCTCTTACATGTTTCGCAGTAAGTTTATACCAAACATTAACTTCTTTGTCTGTATACTCCACTAAGCTCTCTAACGGTTTCTTATTGATGATAATATTTTCATCTAACTTGAAACCTGTGTCATAATAACCAGTTGCGGATCAATTTTAACAAATGCGGTGCATCTGCAAACATATAAATATTTTTATTTGTTTGAGGATGCTTAAATGACGTATTATTAATATCGACGCCCAACTGCTTCCAAAGCCCCACATTACTGCTGCCACAGTCGCTAACACATCCCACAACGTTGTAGTGTATTTTATAAAGTTCTGTAACTATATTTAAAAGTATCTCTTTAGTAATTCTTTGATCAAAACCAATAAACACAGGCTGCTTCCATTTGGAAAATAATCCGCGAGCCATAACAACTTGTAATTGGCTATGTGGACCAATTATTTTATCTGAAGCGACGTTGTATTCATATAAAGATTTAACTTTGACTTCATCAAATGCCAGCACAACCGTTTTCTCAAAATCAGACATCTTTTCACCAGCTAAAGATAAAAACCGTAAAATTTCTTTTAATATTCCTTCATCCAAACTTATTTTTAAACCCCATCTTCTTAATGTTGATAAACCAGGTAGGGGATAGTTTAATGTATTTTTTACGTATACGTATGCTTTCTTGCTATAATACCTTAGGGTAAAAGCAACTGAAATTTCATTGGATGTCCAATTAACTCGTTTTTTCTTGTTTGACAATAGAGCAACTTGATTCTGCGTTAATATTTTCTTCAAAACATCTTCTGCTTCGGATTTTTTGGCCTTTATATGATGGTTACCGCAACTGCTTAAGGAGATTTTTAAACTTTTTTTCTTATAGTACTGCACTTGCGAGTTCAATAGTTTTATTTTTTGTTTATATTTTTCTTCCATGCGTTCATATTTAACTTTTAGGTTGTTATATTGATGAAATAAATTATCGTCTTCTTTGTTGTGTGATGTGGAAGGCTGAGAAAAAAATTCAGTGGGAAAAGTTCGGTCCGGGATTGCAGTTTCTTCAATGTCAGTTTTTGATTCTTGTATTTTGTGTTCCGCTAAAATATTTTCAACCTCTTCCTTTTTTTCTCTCTTTTTATATCTGTTTGCACGGTCAGAGGAAAAACTAGGGTCTCCATGTTCTTGTGTACCTTTATGCAGACTTGGTAAATTTAAAACTGGAACAGCAGTTTGTTTCAAGATTTTCTTCTGTGGCAAACCTTAAAAAGAGCATTATGTTTACGATTATTTTCTGCAGATAAGCTTGGTTTAAAACCTAGTAATTCATTTTGTAGATCTCGTTCATAGTCTTGCTGCGTAAAATGAGTAGAACAAATTACGCTAGTGTTAGGATTCATCTTGTCGGCCCTTTTACATCGTCGAATCCACTCATTTCTAATTGTAGAAGAAGTCAAATTGTTTCCCCGAGGAAATCTGTGATATATAACTTTTAGGCCTTTTTTTTTCGTCTCAATCAAACTATTATTGCAACCGAATACGGCGCATCGCATTCCCGGCATTTTGAAATTATCCTTAAGTTGAGTAGGGACCCTATTAAAACAAACTACGTATTCTTTAATCATTTCATAAAATATAAACTGAATTTTGTAGATTCATTTTCAAACAGATTTCAAATCAATAATATTGTGTCTGTTGTTTCAAACAAATAAAAAATGAATAAAAATCACGAATTACCTAATAAAGAATTTTTTCTAACCAGCAAAATGTACAACCAAATGATTGCACAAAGAAAATACGAATTAAAACAACTGTAATTAAGTATTAATTAAAGTAGTGCAGTGAAATATCATAGCAGTACTCGTTTAAACGCGTTTAAACACTGTTGTCGAGCGACAAACTTCCGACTCAGGTCTGCGTGCTACGTCACTACGGACGATTAGGTAGGAGTGGGGCGACATATACACAAGGTATAGCGATCGAGCAATCCTGTCTACTTATTTAAAATCCTTGCCCCATACCAAATCTTTGGGGCGTGCAGTCCGGACTTTCCCATGATTTTTTTTCGGTATTAAAGTTTATTGCACGTCACGGTGAAGCTTTGTAGAATTCCGAAATCGGTCACTCACCACTTGGCTTTCAACCTCCGAAAGCTCTTAAACTCTCTCGTGTTTTCGTTCCTCACTGTATTTGTAGTGCAGTTTTGTGAAAATTTCTGTAATTCAGTGTCGTCGCTATTTACACTAAGTAAGTTAATATTTAATAAATTAATAATTTTAATTTGTTTTTTTTTAATTTTCAAGGCCATTTACGGTGCGAGAAATGTCTAAAACAAATTTAAAACTTTTTAGTACTTTATCATACACACAAAAATACCGTCGATTACAACATTATAAAAATCTTATGAAAGAAATATGTTACCAACAATTAATAAAGAGAATAACGATAATATTACTTCTGAAAACGCGGAAAGTGTTAAAGATTCGGTGTTGACCAGTAATAGCATAAATAACTTTAATAATAAAGAGTCTGCTATTGCTGATAGTAACATTCTTGATATTAATATTACTGCCACCCATGCCAATCACAATGACTTTTGAAAATGTGGAAAGTATTGAAAATTCAGTGCTAAACAGTAACAGCACCTATGACATTAATACTCGTAACAACGCAGTAACCGTTTCCTTTATAGAAAAACTTCGTAATTGGAAATTGACGTTCAATATATTATCTCAGTCAGCCTGTCAGACTGTCTTTACGTTTTATACAAGAATAAATAGAAAACTAAGAACATAACAACATAATTGTGTAATAATTTCAGAAAGCTATAGTTTATTTTTAAAATGGCTATGGGAGGCTCAAAGTAGATTGGTAAGCATAATGCGGATGAAATATTAGTGAACAATATTCAAGTTTGAACCGCACAAGTGCATTATATATACATTTCAATGCAAACACATTGTCGAAAGATTTACAGTTCCGAATTATGAACCCAAGAACTTTAAGTGCAGAACTAACGATTTTATTAATACGTTCTCACTTACGAAGTTGAAAAGGCACCCGTTAAACTCAATATAACGTTGTAATGATCAGCCTCCATAATCAGGTTGATAGATTTTTTATTGGAAGCTCTGGGGCCTTCGTAGTAAACTGAAGATCCATCGCGAGTGTTATATACCACAAATACTGCTGAAACTCGTCAATATGAACAAGTGGCCGCAGTTTATTAAATTTACATTTGCAGCACGACATAATTCTGCAACGCGATTCTCTAATAACTCCCTACCACGAAGACCCGAAAATTTTTTTCGTTCATTACGATTGTCGCAAAATTCTTTTGCAACAACTAAAGCGAAACCCAATCAAGCACTACCCTCGTTATCTATTACGTAAATACTACTCTTTGCTAAACTAAATTCGTTAAAACTCCAGGCTGGTATTCACAAAGCCTGATTAAAAATTAATCATGTTGGTTAAACGTTGATGACACCATCAGTTGACGAAACTGTCACATTGATGGAGTCATCATCTAACATGTCGTCAAGTAACGGAATGTTCTTAATCGTATTGATTAAATGTTGATTTGATGAAGCCATTAGCTAATCAGTGACAACCGAGCGATTAAAATTGCGTCGTCTTCCTTTTCTTGTGGTTTTTGAAGAAGTTACACTTTATTTAATTACGAGGTGATTAAACACGACATTTGTTTACAATTATTATAATTTTTAAATAACATTTAAACAAAAAACGAAATTTTTAGAATTTTAGATACCACAATGTCTGACATTACATCACTGTCTTCTCTGTCTTCTGAAGAGGATGATGAGCAACCAAGAAGAAATAATAGGCGGATCAGGCACATTCGCAATAGGTCAGATCCATTCATAGAGTTTGACGCAACAGATTTCCGTATGAGATTTAAATTTAGAAAAGAAACAGTTCTTGAGATATTACACAGATTTGAACATCTAACTGCACCAGCTTCAAAGCGAAACAAAGCCATAAGTCCCTTGAATCAATTATTGATCACACTTAGGTTTTATCCAACTGGAGCATTTCAAAACTGCTTAGGAGATCATATACACATCTCACAACCTTCAGTCTCTAGAATAATTGCCAGAATTACGCGCTGCATTGCTCGTAGAAGCAACACTGAAATTAGAATGCCAGATCCTAACGAGTCAGTACAAGTTTGCTCTGATTTTTATGGCATTGCAAACTTTCCCAGAGTTGTTGGTGCTATAGATTGCACCCACATAAAAATCACTTCTCCAGGAGGCGAAAACGCCGAATTGTATAAGAACAGAAAAGGCTACTTTTCGATAAATGTTGAAGTTGTCTGCGATGACCACTTAATAATTAGGCACATTGTTGCACGCTGGCCTGGGTCAGTTCATGATGCCACTATTTTTAATGATGGTCCTTTGCCCGTGAGTTTTCAAGGTGGAAGGCACGGAGCTAACAATTTTCTGTTGGGGGACAGCGATTACCCGTGCAAATTATTTTTGTTGACACCACTTTTGCATCCTAGGACTCCAGCAGAAGTAGCTTACAACACGACCCATAAAAAAAACTCGAAACACAGTTGAACGGTGCTTTGGTGTATTGAAGAAACGATTTCCTTGCCTTACTTTTGGTCTTCGTACTAAAATGACAACAACTGTGGCAATTATCGTTGCGTGTGAAGTATTACATAATTTGGCTGTCAAACTAGGCGACTATGAAGAAGAACCAGAAGCATATTTATTGGAAGAAATATATAATGACAATGAAGAGTATGTAGGAGGAAATACAGCAATGAGAAATTACATAATAAATAACTTCTTACAAATGTTTCTGATCGACAATTGCATTCTTCATACTTTTTGTTTTCTAAAAATTTAACTTTGGTATCATATGTTACCAAAAAGACTCCAAAAAAGTTTGTGATATTGATGTCGACAACGCACTATGAGCATGAAATTGCTGAAGATAATGAAGAATTTAAGCCAATCATGATTTTGGATTACAATAAAACCAAGTTTGGAGCAGACATTTTAGACAAATTGATAAGGGAATACACATGCAAAAGAGCAACACGACGGTGGCCACTAAGATTGTTCATGAATTACATAGATATTGCCTGCTATAATGCATTCGTTGTTTGGAATACAAAATTTCCAAACTGGAATGGTAACGTACCAATAAAGAATAGAAGAAAATTGTTTTTACAAGATCTATCTGAAATGCTCTTCAGACAGAAGGCACGAAAAAATGATGAAAGACGGCAGAGGTTACAAAAAAGCCACCTTTGATGCACTAGCCGCAACAGGACGTACTTTTGAAAAGGAACAAAACACCCAACAAAAAAAGAGAGGAAGATGTTGCATGTGCCATGCGAACGACAACAAATATTCAAGTTTATGCCAATCCTGTCAGAAATTTATTTGCCCAGAGCATCGGCTTGATGAGTTGCAATCAAGATGCCGGACGACGAGGATGCAAATCCAGTCGATCCGCTAAAAAGTTTACATTGTAAAATCTGTAAATGCTATATAGCTAAAAACGCGCCGAAAATTAGATGTAATGCCAAAAGTTGTTCGACATATGTTCATGTGAAATGTTTTGAAAATCTGAATAACATCATTACTATCGACAAAAACAGTTGGGTTTGTAAATTATGCAATCCGAATCAGTATGGTGCTAGTGCTAGTGATGTAAGTGGTGCCCAGATCAGTGCTGATGTGCAAGATAAAGTGAAATTGTTAGAAGAATTAGTACGAGAGCTACAAAACGTTAATAATCTGCAAAGAGAAAAAATTGCCAATCTTGAAAAAGCGAATTCCTTATCTACAATGCCAGCATTGTCGCGTTCATATAGTGAGGTGGCAAAAAATCAATCGTGTGATATTTTAGTTAAACATCCAAGTGGGTCATCTGCAAGTCAGGAAGGTAAAAATGACGTCCTTAATAATATTAGAAGTCAGGTGGATCCTGCGGCTCTGAACGCCCGTGTGGAGTCTACGAAAATTGTAAAATCGGGGTTGATTATAAAGTGTGCTGATGATGAGTCCCGCAGCGTGCTGATGCAAGAGCTTAAATCTACGTTGGGTGAAGCTTATTCTGTTGAGAAGAACAAAAAGTGGAGTCCGCGTGTTATAATTAAAGGTATTGATTTAGATTTCTTTGAATATGATGATGCAAGATTGATCAGAAAAATAGTAACATCTAATGAGCTTGATGAAACCCTTATTACCAGTGATGTTAAAATTATAACTAGGATAAAATTTAAAAAAAGTTTTAATGTTGTAATACAAGTAAGCTATCAAGTTCGTAATATCTTAGTGAGTAAGGGTAAAGTTTTTGTAGGTTGGCGTTCATGTAAATGTAATGATAACTTTAGGATACTAAAATGTTTTAAATGCCTAAGATATGGACATATGAGTCGTGATTGTAAAAATGAGGAGTCAGTATGTTACAAGTGCTCTCTAAGTCATGAAGCTAAACAGTGTACTAGTGAGTCTTATAAATGTATCAACTGCGCTGAGTATAATTTAAAAAACAAAAATTCATTAATTTCGACACAACATGTATGCGGGGACAAGCAGCAGTGCGCTATGTACAAGAAGCAGCTTAATATATTAATATCTAAAATTGATTATGGCCAGTAGCTCAAATAAAAATAATTCTAAGCTAATGAGTATAGCGCATTTGAATGTAAGTTCCCTGTTTACAGGATTTACTGAATTTCAGAATTTAATATATTCCAATGACTTTGATGTGGTAGCGGTGATGGAGACTTGGATTTCTGATTATATACCTTCATCAGTGGTCAATACGGATAATTATAAACTATATTTTTAATATTTACTGTTAAATTATTGTGTGAATTATATATTTTTGTTGTGGTTATTACATATTTATATTATTATTTTCTTCCTAGATATTGCATCTCTAAGTTAATTTTATTATTTTATTGTTTTTGCATTTAATATTTATTTTGTAAGGTTGAGTGGAATAGCCTATGGCTAGACTCCGCCTAATCATGTATCATTTTATCATGAATAAAGTCCTATGTATGTATGTATGTATGTATGTATGTATCTAACAGTGAAGAAAATATTCTGCAAGCGTTGCAAAAAACATCTAGACGATTCAACTTTTCAATTTAGGGATTCTAATTATTTTATTTATAAAAGCATTTATTTTTTAGATCCAGGAGAAAAGCTTCTAGAAGGTTTAGCGAAGAAAATCTTATCAGTTTTTATTTTTCATAATATATTTTGTTCTCTACATTACATATAGTTTTTTTCGTTTATTTTGATCCGTTCTTATTGTTCATATATATTGTTTCTTATATATTGTTTTTTTGTTTATTTTTGTCAAATAATAATAAAAGCTTTTAAAATATATTGATTACACAAATTTTACTTGAAAAAATGTATTTTGCAGTTGCAGTCAAAAATTATGCATAAGAAATCAGCTGGGTCACAATTGACCCGTATGGTATAAGAAATCAGCTAGGTCATTCATATTATTATGGTATGGCGAGTGTTAAATAAATAATTACAAACAAATTTTTATGCTTAGCCAATATTTTTTTTTTCGTTTTCTTTCTCACTAGAAGTATGGGTAAAAAAGATATACCAAAATAAAAAAGGGTGCGAAATCATTTTTTTACCGCATGAGAATGTGCGTTATAACCCTAGACCGAAGCTCGAGTCTCGTAACTCTCTCTTGCTTAAAGAGGTTTTTGCATTTTTTTTACTCATACAGTACATACTCTACAGTTTCCGACTCGGACTTCTTAAATTGAAAAACCCAAGGGGGACTAACAAAGTAATAATTATATGTAAATACGCTGAACGGGTGTTTAGGCAGCAAAAAAACATAGCTTTGAAGGACATTAATACACTCGTCCTTAACGCAACGAGGGAAATTAATTTCAGAAATTTATTTTTAAATTTAAGAGACCATCTTTTGGATCTGGATTCCATTAATAATCACTTGAATCTTTTAATTTATTTAATTTTAAAGCAACATTTTATTATAAAAACACATCATTTTAATCAAACTTCAAATTCATTTCAAGCATCAGTAAGTCAGTTTCATATAGCATTTATTGCATAATTTTCTCCATGTGTCAAATTGATTATCATTATTATATTTTCTTACAAAATATCCAACGGTAATAAGTATTGAAGAATACCCCACTTCAGTTTCGGTGAAAAGTATACATATGTTTTTCAGAAAATAGCCGTTTGAAATTTTAGTCTGCTTAACTTCTTTGATTTTTACTTTTACGACGAAAAACGTTAAAAATAAAAATACTTTTAATTTTCATGACTACATGCCTTTTTTAAGAAACTTAACTATCACCAGTTTGCATATCGCCCGGCGCTGATGGTTTAATTACATGATTTCAGTTATTATGCATACATAACAATTATTACGCTTTTCACCAGAAACATTATATCCTACAGAATTCATTTATAACATTTAGCTGCTTTTTATGTATTTGCCAACTTAATAAATAAATATTTTTTTCACTAGCAGCCATGACGCATGCAAATGTCGACTCATTTAGAGGTAACAAATTCAACTTTTGCGACCACCGGTTCAAAAAGAAAAATTGAGGTTATGTACGCAATGTTTGATGTGATTATTTCTTAAAAAATGAACAAATGTGTGCTACAAACATTACTTGAGTATACGCATGGTAGTTGGTAGACGGTAGAAGATAAAATGATGAACTCAGCGAGAAGTATGAACGGTTTTCTTTGTGTTGAAGATTTAGATTAAGTTTGATTAGAAATCAAAACAAAATCATGTTGCGTCAAAAAATTGAACGTTTATTTTTTCAGTTTATTGTCTTATGGGGTCTACTAGTGAAAAAAATAGTATATTAACCACGGTTGCAAAGCCACTTCTAGACCTCGCGCTTCAGAGCCCTCGACGCTGCGCGTCTCGGGTTCTAATTTGCGCTCGGTCTAGAATGCTTGGCTCTGCAACCTTGGCTAATAATATACTATTACCTACCGCTTCTATTTATTTCAATGCATATTTACCTCCTTTTGGCTACAATCACGTGGTACAAATTAGCGCTCTCACTCCCACTCTAGCCAAGCCGCGATCTTCTATTGCTCTCACATGTTGTCGTCAATCCTCAACACGGTACGGTGTGGGTTACGCGCTATCCATAAATAATTATTAGATCTATGATCATTATAACCCATAACCTCTAAAAGAGGCTGTGAGAGCACAGCGGTAAATCAAGTGTGTTTTTTTTTGGGTATTTAGTGTCGTGTGGTCGTACAGTATGGACGATATTGAAGTATCTTCTGCAATTGTACTTTTAACCACTATTGTCGCAATAGTGACAAAAGAAAACACAAAAAAGCGGCGTACTCGACGCTCAGTGTGGTGTAGGCAGTGGTTGCAAAGAAAAGAAGAAGGAAGAGGTATTTTAAATATGTTAAACCAGGAATTATTAGTAGAAGATCCCATGTCATATAAACATTTTTTACGCCTGCCCAAATCATTGTTTGAAATGTTATTACACACCATTGAAAGTGATAATAAAAAACCCGACACTGTAATGAGAGATTGCATTTCAGCAAAAAGCAAGTATGTTGCGTTTTTATGATTAGGAGAGTGTGTTATTATTTTATTTAATATACATTTTTAGGTTAGAAGTGACTCTTCGATTTTTAGCAACTGGAGACACATTTAGGTTTAGACATGGTTATTTTAACTTACTGTCACTGAAATTACACGTGAACTACACTAAACAGTCCGCCTCTGCATTTAAGGTTATGTTCTGCCGCTACGAGAGTATCGCATCTATGCGCATGACTGCGCAAATTGTCTGGGCGTGGGCGCGATTTCTCAATATATTTATTATTTATCCAATATTTAGAACACGTTCTAAATGATTTTCATGAAAATTTACAAAATATTTTGCTACATTTTTCACTTGTATGCAACGCTGAATTTTTTTTACAACAAATTTTCTCGTGAATTTTCATATAAATTTTGCATCGTGTCAAACGGGCTTAAGAACAACTGTGTTTTAATCAACCCATTTCCTAAAGGTTATGGGGCCAGTCTACGCGTAAAGTGTGTGTATATCGTGTTACGTGCTGGCGCGACAAACGAAATAAACTGAAAATGAATAACACGTGTAAAGCGAAATATAAAACCGTTTAAGGTTGAAAATATAGTGTGTGGAAATTTTAGTATTCGGGCAATGTTGGCCAAGTTCGAAGTACTGCATGTCATATACAATGCTAACGAATGAGTGGAAGAAACACGGTTCAATAGCGAAAAATGTCATCGTAGAATACCTCCGTGACTCGTTTCTTGGTTTTTGCGAAGGAGAATGAAGTACGAGAGATATTATCCAAGCCAGACAATATCTACGAAAAACGAAGTTTGGCACCTCAACTGGCCTTAAGAAAGCAACTATTAAGCCTGAAATTACAAGGCGATAACACGTTATTCCAACACTTCATCCGCTTCAATGTCATCATTGCAGATTTAGTTGCAGCCGGAGCCGTGTTAGAAGAGATAGACAAAGTATCCTCCTCTTACGACGGAGTAATAACTGCATTAGAAACCTTGGGACCGGACAATTTAAACCTAACTGTGGTCAAAACGCGTTTGTTAGATCACGAAGTCGAATTACAAACGAGAGAAATAGCTACTAACCTAAAGGCCTTAAGAACGAGCAGTTCTTATCCACCGTAAAGACCCAGTGGGAGTCAACATAACTACAAAAGCGTACAAGATATAACAAAATTTTTCAAAAGGAGAGCACAAAAATTTCGACCAACATCTTCTTCGAAAGTTCACTATAAATTATCACTAAGGAGATGCAGTTTTAGGCCAGGCGCCTCCCACCACTTTCCGTCAGCAGCGTCCGCTGTTATTGCTTCGCTTCGCCCGTCGGTGCATGTTCGGTCATTTTAATATTGCTGATTGGGGTAGCAGGCATCGCAGTTGAAGGGTTTGATTCACCAATACGTGAGGGTTTGGCAGTCTTTACGCTTTAGTTATACATTATTTTTGGTGAATTGAAAAGAATTTTTATTTCCGTTTGTAATTTTTAATTATTAATTGAAGAAGTCGAGTATTTATTTTATTGTTACAGGGTGCAGGTATTTGATTGTTCCCATTTTTTCAGTTTTATTTAAACGTTTAATTTGTATTTAGAATTTTCATTTTTATTTCTATTGTGTAAGTGGATTTAATTTTGATTTACGGTATAATGTCTTCGGTACCGAAACTTGAGTGGATCGTCGAGTTTGGCGATACATTTTCCTGGGTAGAAGACGACATAGTACAGTGTAACATTTGCAATGTAAATATACATTGCTCCAAAAAAGGGCATTTTACGCAACACGTGCGCAGTCAAAAACATGTAACTGCAATGAACCAGCCCATGGGAGGCGACTTTAATAAAGATTTGTGTCGTGCTTTTGCTGCTGCTAATATACCGTTGCGGAAACTTCAAAATCCTGTATTTAAGCAGTTTTTAGAAAAATATACAAATAGCCACGTATTAGACCAGGCGACATTGCGTAGAATTCATTTGCCCAAATGTTACACAGACATCATGGCCCAAATCAAATCGCAGATTGCGGATAATTATATATGGGTGTCATCGGATGAAACGACAGATGTTTTAGGGCGTTGCGTAGTTAATGTGGTTATTGGTATACTACATTCTACAATACCATACAAACCATTCGTCATTGAATGCCATATATCCGCAACCGTAAATGCGGAAATTATTTCCTCCATAATTGATAATTGTTTAAACGACATTTTTGATAATGTGGAAGAGAAATATAATAGAGTTCTTTTATTTGTTAGCGATGCAGCCCAGTATATGAAAAAAGCAGGCAGAATATTGAAGGAGCGATATAAAAATTTACTCCACATTTCTTGTTTGGCTCATGGGCTGCATCGCGTGTGCGAATTTATTAGAGACAATTTTTCGGACGTCGATAAATTAATGAGTTCCTGTAAAAAAAAAATTCTTAAAATCTCCACATCGCATATCTTTATACAAAGACACCTGTCCACATCTGTCTCTACCTCCTTCACCCGTTATAACGAGATGGGGTACGTGGCTAGAAGCAAGTTTGTTTTACAGCCAACATTTAGATGAAATAAAAAATGTAATTGTAACTTTAAAAGACGATGCGGCCAGTATTGTAGAATGCAAGCAGATTTTGCAAAAAGCTACCCTAAAAGAACAATTACAGTACATTAATATTAATTTTAAAACTTTGCCTGACACCATAAAATTTTTTGAAAAACAAAACATTCCACTGATTGACTCCATAACAAAATTAAATACAACACAGATTTTTGCCGTTGCAGCTATTATAAAATAATCTACGTCTCATCCGTGTATTGCTACGTGGAGCCGATGGTTATTAATTATTATATATATATATATACATGTGTATGTTTTTGAGCATAGACTTCAGGTTAAAGAAAAAGTAATAACATTTTACAATTTAACTGAAAAACCGAATGCTCTGAGATCGTGCAAACATTTTAAGGTAATCGTAAGTATGGTAAATCGTTACTCAAAATTTATCTGTTTATCTTCGTCATCTCTAAATTTTGTAATAGAAAAACTCACTTGAAACATACAATACAATAACTTCGTTATTTGTATTGTAAGCGTCCATACATCTTTATGTAAACTTATATGGGTTGTCATAAAAAATGCCAACTCAAACTTTATAATTTTTCGAAAAAGCTGTATTTGTTACACTGTAGGGACAAGTTCTGACTAATACTTTAGACCAAATTTTTGAATAATATGAAAGTTAGAGGGACCTTTTTCGACCAAATTGAAACCATGAATTATTCATATAATAAAAATATTTGATCATTTTCTGTATCAAATTTAAAACCACATTCTGATGAGCGATTTAAAATAACAATTATATTATTTTAAATCTAATATTGCATTTTAGATTATGGTACAAAAGAGTGTTCTGTTCATTTAACCGATGTTATAAAAAGCAAGAAGTCTGTGAAGTACTGTCTATCATCAGATGAAGCTTCCGACAAAGATGATCCATATGCAGATCCAGAATTTACAGATGACGAATATATACCAGGTAAGTTAATTGAAAGTTAAATCAAGTAACTGTCGTTAATTAACAACATTTTTAGATGAATCTACGCCTAGTACAGGACGGACAATAACTCCAATATCGTTTGAGCCTCTTTGTACCAGAGTAAACAAACAAACAGTTAGGCGCAGATTATTTACCAAAGAAGATAAAACATGTTTAGGTAATTAATCATTTTGTATGATTCTTAGATCATTTAATATAATTTTGCAGACAGCGGATTTGTTGGAGAACGACCACAGATGAACCGAATTAAAAAAGCTTGCAGTAAGATAAAAATTTATAACTCTGGTAAAGTTATTCTGGAGACTATAGAAACATTTCATGAGGGACAGTATCATGTCGGTATGTTCAGTGCTGCTTTGTCTCATTCCGATGAAAGATACCTGAGTTGCCACGTTTTCGACCAAAGTATTAATCACGATTGTAAATGTAAATAAGTTTAACAATCTAGTGATATTTTTCTGCAGTGCACTATTTTTTAGTATCAACCCATGGAAAGAATATTGGTTTCTTATATAGACAAGAAAAAAGTTTAATGTGCCACATACTATGTTGCATTCCACCAAATGTAGTATTAGAAGGTACAGAAATAAAAGCGGATCATATAAATCAAAATATAACGTCTCTTATAATGCAGCCTATAGATTCTGAACTGAAATCTTCTACAAAATTGAAAGGGCACTATTGTTTCTACTGTGGTAAACTAAGAACCTGTATGGGTCGCCATTTGCAAAAGGTAATGAGCATAAATTTTACTTCTTATCTTGATGTTATGTTTTGCAGGTCCATGCAAAAGAAACTGAAGTAAAAAACATGTGCTTCAAACCAACAAAAGAGAAAAACAAACTTTTACGTCAACTTCGGTTGAAAGGTGATCAAAAGTACAATTTGCAAGTAAATTTACATCAAAGAATCCCTGTAAGAAAACCAATAAAACAAAAGTTATCTGAAAGTATTCACTGCCCCACTTGTTCTGGCTTGTTTGCAAAACGAAATTTTGCTAAACATGAATTAAAATGTTCAAAAAGAGCCCCAGACAGAAGACGTAGGCGTCAAAATGCTTTAATTTTAGATCAGAGACAAATTTCAAAAAGTTTAGAAGAAAAACTTCATATAAAACTCGTAAGCAACATGCTAAACGACGAAATTGGTGTAGTAGCAAAAAATGATCAGACAATACTTTTGCTTGGAATACATTTATGCAAGCTAAATTCAGAACAACGTTTTATGGATAATACTAGGTCACAGATGAGACGATGTGCAAGATTGTTGTTGATTATTAAACAGCTGGATCCATCAATCACTTCGTTCGCTGAATGTTTTATGCCATCTAAATACAAATTAATAATGCAGGCTATACGTAATCTTACAGGTTCTAGAGATGAAGAGGTTATCACCGCTCCATCTCTTGCTTTACAGTTTGGCCCTTTATTGACGACAATTGCCTCTCGTTTAAAGATTCAGCTTCTTGAAAATAATGTAGCTGAGGAAGATCCACGTATGGTAACGCTTAGAAATTTTGAATTCTTACATAAACAAGAATTTAAAAATGAAATTACTAAAACAGCTTTGAAAACGGCGAGCATTAAGAAAGTTAAAACCGCAAAGGAAATACCAAGTCAGGAAGATGTAAAAATCTTTAACCTTAAAAAGATTTTGCTCCAAAGTACAGAACAACTTAAAAGTGAAAATTTTGACATTAGATCATGGAAGACATTGGGTGAATGTATACTATGCCAAATAATGATATATAATCGTAGACGACCAGGAGAAAGTTCTCGTATGCTTTTAGAAGACTACAAAACAAGAAAACAACTCCAACAGGAAAACTACAAACATCTTAATCGCCTGCAACGTATATTAGCTGAGAAATTTTCATTTATGTTCATCTTGGGTAAACGGCACAGGCCTCTTAACCTGCTACTGAAATCAGAACATATAGAGTAAGCACTTTAACTATACTGTTTTCACAAAACTTCAAATTCTATATCAATATATTTTGCTTAAGGACTGTAGTAAATTTGAGGTTTTGTGAATACTTATCCACTTTTTAAAATATTTCGCAACTAAAAGTAACTGTTTTAGGGCCCTCGATTTTTATTTATCATTTCGAGAACAAGCACAAATTCAAGAGAGTAATGTATTTCTCTTTGCATTCAATAATAATAATGGTCACCTCTCAGCGTCAGTGGCACTTCGAAAATTTGTTCATAACGCTAACCTTAAAGCACCCAGGTCATTCACTGGTACTTACTTACGGAAACAAGTGGCTACACAAGCACAGATCTTGGATTTATCCCACAATGAAATGCAGCACGTCGCAGATTACATGGGACATGATTTAAATGTACATTTGTCCAATTATAGACTGAATGATGCTTCAGTTAACATTTTTACTTTATCACGGTTTTTGAGTGTCATTGATGGAGACGATGATATTGAGAAATATCGAGGAAAAAGATTAGAAGATTTAGAACCGTTTATTCCTGATGAAGACTATGACATTGAGGATACGAATCCTGATGAACCAAGTAAGTACGATCAGATAAATAGTGAAAGATATACATTTAGGAAATTTCCTAGAATGATATTTTTTACTTATAATTTGAGATTTAGAAAACTGATATGAACGAAAATTGCTTCTAAATAATTGGGTTCACTTTAAACTGTTTTATAGTTATGAATTAGGTATAGCTAAATATTAATTAAGTCTGTGGCAACTTTAATGTGTTTCTGCAACTTTTAAAAATTTGACCCATTTTTTGTTTTTCACATACTTACATTATTACTGTTTTTTTTACAAATTAAATCCAAGTCTTTTGGAATAAACTAAAGTAAAACCAATTTTTTAACAAAAATCTTTATTTCGGCAATGTATATAAACCATGCTGTATGCTGTAAAGTTGTTAAGAACTATAGTAGCAACTTTTTAAAATTGTAGTTTTTAAGTTATTGTTAAATTGATATACACTAAACTTAAATTAACACTTGTAAACTGAAAGAAAATGTACTTATTTTTTATGTAGGCACTGAAAAAAGAAGCGCTCCTGTTAATACACCTCAGAAGAAACGAAAAAGTCCTGCAAAACTACAAAGTCCGTCGCCGTCGTCCCGAAATCCTACGACTCAAGAAATTGAAGGTCGCCTAAAAAATCCCTCATTGCGTTTGTATCGGAGTCCATTATGTAAAAGGGGAAGAAAATTAAAGTGGACAGTAGCAGAATTAGTTATAATGCACACAGAATTTAAATACAATTTACAAGAAAAAAAACTGCCGAAACTTTCGCTTTGTCGGGTGATCCAAAGAAAATATTCGCATATATTTCAAAAGGAGCGGTCTGTCGGCTCTATATATACGTGGGTACAAAATCGTGTTAGAAATGTTGTTTATAATTGATTCGTGAAATAAAGTGCTGAATAAAATACAATGAGTTTTAATCAGTTAAACAATACTTCAACTGAAAGACATTTTAAGACGTTAGTAAAACTGACAATGTCAATGGATGTTTAGTATAGTGAGTATATAGCAGCACTTGATAAAGTGTAGTTTCGAATTGAGTTGTCTACATATGTAAGGGGTTGATTTACAAAATTCTACAAATCCAAATTCGTCGAAAAATGATTTATTCTTGGGTAGCGACAGACAGCAGTAAGACCATGGAATTAGTTGATGTGTTTACATCAATTAGTCTTAATTCCCCTTCAAATTGTGTAAGAAAAAAGAAAAAAAATCAAAACTCAACAGCGATGTCCGATTTATGAATGTCGTGATTTACATAATTATTATCGACAGGTGTCACTGTGCACTGCGACCGTTCAATGGAAACTAGGGCTTACATCTCTCATGATATTTATTTGTGTATAATTACCCCGAGAGAAGAATAAAAACACGATCAAAGCCAATCATGGATTTTTCAAAGTTTGTCTTTTATCGTTGTACTTTCGGCTCAAACTATTCAATTGAAATAAAAAATTAATCTGAAAAGACAAAATTCTATCCAAGACAAATCTTCAAAAATCCATGGTTATTTTTGATCGTGATTTTTATTGCGCTCTCGATATGTAGATAAACAGATTATTATCATAAAAATCCCTCTTTTCTAATTTGTTTTTAACAAAACTAAACTAAAACTAAATGGTTAAATATTAACAAATATTCACACTTCTGCCATAAGAGTTAACAAGTGTATGAGTGGTATTCAGTATAATAAAAATTAGTCCAAATAGATATGTCGACTTTTGTAAGTCAAATCTTCATGAGAAAGAAGACTATTGTTCAAATTTAAAAATTCCTGCTGAAATATGCCACCTATTAGCCAAGTAAGTTTATAAAAATGATCGTTATTAATAATAAAGTAGAAGAAATAACCAAAAATTAAGACATCACCGCAAGAAAATAGATTCCTCTTCGATGCGCCATCTACCGAAAATATTTATAACATAAAATTCACTTTTGGTTTAAACGAGCGTTGAAAATTCGCATGATTTTTTGCTCGCTTAAGGTTGTTTGAACTATTAATATTATTATTATTAACTGATTTTTCTCAAAAACACAACACTATGAGTCATCCATCTTCGACATATGGCACGATACCAGAAGTGTCTGCTGTTAGAGGCTTCAAGAATATAATTTTTTATAATTTTTTTAATTTTTTTTATTTTTTTAGTTTTTACTTATAATGTGAAATTAAATTGTTATTATATACAATAATGTGAATTAAGTTAATAGCGAGGTTGAGAAATGTAACTGATTTAGAATAAAGAATAGCCAACAGTTAAAACAGCACAGTCATCAAAAGTTAACAACGTCTACAGAAACGAATGATCACGTGGTTGGGAACATAGAAGAAAATCACCGAATAGAAGACCCAGTCAACATAGGTTAACTACGAAGTCAATTGAAACAAGAACTTCATTGTATCGTTTAAATCAAAACAACAATTTTCCCGATGCAACAAAAACTGAATTATCTCCCTCATGTCCCACTTCGTTGAAAACCTCTACTAAATCTTCGCTAATAATTGATACTGTACCTATAGTTGATGATAGCAGTGATGAACGTGATATCCCACTCCGCAACCTTCATGGAGTCAATTTTGCCTTACGCAGGTATCCCGCGCAATATATTTTGCGTGGTAAATTTAAATATCGGTTGTAAGGCTATCTTATTGAACTGTCAGATCCGAAAGTGCTGTTATGTTGATTGAGGTTATATTGTGGTAGTAGGATTGCATATTTAAGTTAGGTGTGCGAATTGTTGGTTTTGTTACTGACTGATTTAAATTGATTTAACAAAACCTAAACACCACACGTTTATTAATATTTCTGTGTCACTTCAACGTTAAATGCTGATCGGATGTGTTAATTGTTAAGTAGTGGTTGCAACATGCCGCCTTTGCCGCAACTCAACGCTCCAAAGATGCCGACTTCCTGGCGGAGCGTGTAGTCGGATCTCTTTGGAGCGGCTCCCTTTGGGGCGGCTCGCTCCTTTTGAAGAATTGGCGGCGATCACAGGAGAAGTCGGCCTAACCCCCACTTATTTTTATACTTTGTGTCAATTTTTAATTTTAAAGACGAGTAGCGATGTAACCACCGAAAGCGAAACAATAAACCAAGTGTAGCAACACAAGACTTTCATTTTAGTTCTATGAACACAAATACGGCTGGAAAAAGCTCCAGTCGTCAACAGGATGGGTTGAATTAGTGATTTACTTTTTGTGAACGAATTAACGAATATCGCGTATTAAGAGTGACTAAGGGCGTTGCAGCAGTCGTGCAAAACTAATAACTTTCTTTTCTTTTGTAGATTAGTGCCTAGTGCTACTTTTTTTATATTTCGTTTTGATGATTTAGGTCTCTGATTTAGGTTAGGCAAGGTTATGTTTGTTTTCTTACATATTAACGCAGTGATATGTGAGTGCTATGTTGTTTATTATAAAATTAATCTGTTTAAATACAGGTCAAATTTATGGGCAAGAATAGTTAAACTAGAATCAGTCATGAATAATTCTGCAACAGAACGTTACAGCAGGTATCGGATTTGCAGTCGTCACTTTGAACTAAAAATGTATCCACATCAGCTGTTGTGCCACTGACTGAAAGCAACAGCATATCCAACTCTTCATGTTTCAGGTGCCGTCTTATTGAAAATTAAATTAGTAGAATAATTGGAAATTTTAGGTGAAACAATAAGGACAACCAAACAAACAGTTGTGACAAACAAACCAAGACTTTCCACCTCAAAAATATTGACATTTATGAATCGTCACATTTTACTTCTGGCAGTGTTTACTCTGATTAAGCAACACCACTAAGGCCGTCCACTTCGATAAGTACCCATTTACTCTTTCACTTTATTTTTGTTGGAATGGACATAATGTATTAATCATTTTTAGGTTATGAAATTTGTTTAGATTATTTTCAGCATTGTGAAGGAACAAACTGTGTTGAAGATGGAGAACATTTTTAATAACATTAGACAGCGGAACGATGAGTGCTTATAATTTTGTAATTTTGACTACCTATTTGTTTCCAGAGAAAAACGTTTTTACTCCTTTAACTGTAGAAAATATAGAACATACAAATGTAGAATATCCTCTACTACATATGTGGGTATTTATTTTAGAAATGTTTATCATCTCATTCTTGTTCCAGGTATGTTGAAAATGGGAATACTCAGTATGAAGTGAATGAAATGACTGAACAGGTTTTCCATGTTGCATGGCATTTCAATCGACCAAATCTATTTGAAGGATTAACAATGCTGTCATTAGGATTTTACGAGTGTATTAAAAACAGGATAACGTCTTCTGTGAACGTTTTCAGACACTGGCTTTAGGTTCAAATGTAGGCTTAAGTTAAAGGAGCTGCTGGCAACTATTAATTACGCTCTCCCATGTGATAATTTTCAAATAGAATATTTGCTGTCTTTGTAAGAATGAGAATATTCCATTCATAGAAATAATATTATATGGAAGTAACTTAGAGAGAGACGCGCGTTGTCAACATAGTGGGACAGAGATAGGGCTCTCTGGGTGGCAAAACATTGACGCGAACTGCAGAGCACTGTGTTTCTGGAGGTTTCTTTCGTGATTTCGCGTGATGTTTGAAGGTGTATTTTTGCAAGTTTACGTTTTTTACGCTCAAGTTACCTTATTTAATTGTCTACAGTATTTTTAAGTTGTACTTTATTGGACTATTTGTTAAACATCGTGAAATCGTGTTGTGCGTATAATTGAATAGAACGTGCAAAGAAAGCAATCCTGTTTCATTTCATAGGTAATAATCACATACACAGACGAAAGATTTCGTAAATAATTTAAAAAATTTGTTAGATTCCCTGAACATTCCGAGTTACGAAAAAAACAGATTATTGCTACAAAAAGAGGGAATTTTATATCTATTGATTATTGTTTAAGTTATTTGTACGTAGATTTAGAAAATAGATTTTAGTAGAAAATTCCACACAATATAATATGTTTAATTTAATTAGGCACCCTGTCACTTTTATCGAAAGTTTAATTACTTTTATCCTAAAAATTTCAGAATTACCAATGAACATACACTACAAGATTAGTTAACTTGTAGAAGATTATTGTACTAACTGAATTCGTAATTTATTGTAGATTCTGTATACATTTCGTTTTATTAAAAGACCATCACCACTGAACACGATTTTTGTTGCTTCACATTACTCATAATTTTAATGTAAACTGTAAAAATATAGTTTTTATTAACAGACGTTTGTTATAATTGATTGTTTGAACAAATTCGTAAGAAAACGTATTAATTCCCGTTCAAATGATGCGTTTCTTGCCACCCAGCACGTGATACGTGGTCAGCCGTCCTTTCCCCACTGATGCATAACCGCTCTAGCTATTTCTTTCTTATGTTGATTACACTCGCTCGCGTATGGAAACGTATACAAGGCTCCATCCACTCCTTTATTAGATCAATGATTCCATTGAACAAAATTTGACAATATGGAACCTTTAAAGTCAGCACGACATCAGAAGAAGCGAGATCGGATAATAGTTTACGACATCTGTGAAAGTTGTCAAGTCAAGAGTGGAACATTCGAATTTAGGATCCACCTTTTGGGTTTTTATTCTACTCATGTTCGATGTATTTGTTAGTTTTTTTACTTATTTATTAAACTTTAGAAATATGTTTATATTTAGCATTAGACTGTTATATTCCTTTCTGTCATTTTTTGTTAGACGTCTATATTTTTCGTATATTAGACTGTGATATGTTAAACTGTTGGGCTTTCTTCTAATCATTTTTAGTGGTAGGTGTATTTATTTTTATATTAGTTTTCAGATAAAGGGAGCCTCTGATTAATATACGTAGACTTGTCCTGTCCCTATCCCCTTAGCTATCCCGCTCTATGATCACATTATCTGAAGAGTTTTGAGTCGTATGGTATTATATGGCTAGGATATTTTAAACGCTGTTGTAACTGTTTTAGTGCCTACCTAATTATTAAGTAGATAAATATTTATTTATTTTGTGCATTATTAGGGCGTATTTATTTTTGTCAATAATTAATAAATGAAATGTGGTTATTTTTTACAAATAAAGTTGATTAATTATATGGTACTTTGCTCTTGTGGTTCTATATAATTTTTTCCCTTATCTAATGTGAAAACGTGCAGTTTCAAGTGACTGAAAGCAAAAATTCCCCTAATGTAATCGTTTACAACGAAAACTAGTTCTCTGCAGTTTTAGTGCAATATTTGTAACATATACGTAGAAATGGCCATCCAAATCATTTTGTTAATTTTTTGAACTTTTTACATTAGAAAGCGTTCGTACAATAGTGATTGCCAAATATTTTAACAGCTGGGGCCTTGATCAAAAGTAAAAAAAAAAATTGCGTAATAAGAAATCTACTATCTTCAGTTTTTACATCATTTTATTACCATAAAAGCTGTTGTAAAATTGATAGTTGTCATTTTGGGACTCGGGATGCGTTAAAGACATTTGTTGGCGATGTGGCAACTACGACAGTGGTACTAAGCGGCAATACGGCATGCGCTAGGGGCCCGTTTTTTTTAACTGTAATGCGCACGCCCCGCCGAGATCAAAGGTACCGACAGCAAGTGGAGTATCACGTTCATCACTGATGATACCAAGAGTACTACTAGTGAAAAACAGACATTAACGGTCGACACTGTACAGGATGATTTCCATGAAGTTCTTTCTAGAAAATTGAAGAGAAAATTTCTACGTAGTAAAGCTAAGTTGCCAGAAGGGAATACATCATTAAAAGCGGCACCAGGTATGTCTCATATCTATATTGGCAATGTGGAACTAAATGTTAGATGTGAAGATTTGGTTGACTATTTAAAAGGCAGGTTTCCTAATGAAGAAGTTATCATTAAAGCTCCACCCAAACGTGAGAACGCTAAAAGTAAAGCTTTCCAGATTTCAGTCGCTAATGAGTTGTACACTTCTCTCATGAAGGAAGAAATATGGCCAACTGGTATTATAATTAAGAAGTTCCATTTTTTATCAGGAAAGAAAAAAGAAACAATAAGCGGGGGGAATGCACAAATGAACAAAACTCAGCAGAAAAAAACAGCACTTTCTCAGTTTATTACCAAAACACAAGAGGCATCAGAAGCAAACTGAAGGATCTATATTGTGCTGTTTTAAGCGAAAATTATTGTACCCTAGCATTAAGTGAAACGTGGTTATCTCCGGAAATTCAAAGCAATGAAGTTCTTGACAGTAGATACGTAGTGTACAGAAATGATAGAAACAGTGAAAACAGTAACAAACAAAAAGGTGGTGGCGTCCTGTTGGCAATCAACAAAAAGTTCAACTCCATGCAATTGACTTGTGTTAATTCCCACGTCGAAGAAATTTGGGTAAAAGTTTCACTTCCTAATAAGGATCTCATTATCGGCTGTGTTTATATTCCACCTAATTCCGTATTGTTAAAATACTCTGATCATGTTCAATCTCTGCAAAGCATATGCGCTGTTCATTCTAACTGTGATATTTTAGTGATAGGCGACTTTAATTTAAGTAATATTGAATGGATGCAGGTACCTGATTTTGATGGTCTGCTTCCTACTAAAATTTCAAGTGAAACTGAGACGTGTGTTTGGGACAATTACTTCAATCTATTTTTTCACCAGTTTAATAACGTCAAAAATTTCAAAAATGGAGTTCTAGACTTGTGCTTTTTCAAATCTAGGTCTGCAAACTCTTTTAAGGCAGCTTTAAAGCGTATTTTAGAATGTTAGTTTTTTGTTTTTGTTGCTTTCTCTTCTTTTTAATATTTGCTTATTTATAAGTAATTGTAAGTTTATAATTCTATGTAAAGGTAATTGTATGTTTATAATTCTATGTAAAGGTATATCCGTTAATAATAAACATCTGCAAAACAGATCAAATGGGAAGAAGTGAATCCTCTACTATTCAAATACATAATCCATGACAAAGATGCATTAATCGCATCCATGCGAACCGAGATATTATTGTTAAATCAACAACTCGATATATTAAGAGATGTACGACAACCTTGTAAGACAGCAAGGTCAGAAAAAGAATCCAAGTAAAATACCGAAGAAGCATCAAGTACCCAAAAAAAAGGTAAACAACGAAACGTGGAAATTGGATAGACAAAGTAGTCTGCTCACATACCGTGGTGGGAGAATAATGGTGTGGCGGATAGTTGTCGGAAATGCACATCTGTGCGCGCATGACGTCACGCTAGGAGCATAACAGGAAGCAACCGTCTACGGCAGTAGCGAAGAATTTGCTAATGTATGCATTTCATGTGCGATTGTGAAGTATTTCAGAATTTGCTTTGAAAGTTTTAATGAAAATATTTTATTTATTGAAGTTGTTATTTTTATATAGTGTTTGTTAAATTCACAATGCCCGCTTGTGCCGTCTATGGTTGTAAAAATTACTCTAGGAAAACTAAAGGGACTAATATTAAATATTACGGATTTCCCAAAAACGAAGTTTTCGCCAAAATATGGTTGAATGCTTGTAAAAGGGAAGATGAGTTAAATCTGACACATGGTAAAAATATTCCTACACTAAGATAAATAAAAATAACAACAGCAAATAAATTTTAGCTTGTATATGTTCTATTCACTTTGATGAGGACTGCTTTGTAATACCTTTGCAACAGCAGCTTTTAAATTACACTCCTATAAATTGTAGAAATTTAAAGACAAATGCTGTTCCGAACCAAAATTTGCCCAATTGCTCTAAAGCTGTCAAAAGATCGCTGGAGGTTGATAAAAGGGCTGAGAGACTTGCCAAAAGACATCGTCGGGATGAAATAAATAATCTTTTAAATCAAACAGCACTAGGGAAAGGACAAAATGAAGTTTGTGACATAAACAATCATCCTACTGGGCAATCAATAAAGTAAATATCCTTTAATTTTTTGTGTAGCTAATATTTGATCCACATTTTTTATGAATAGCTCTCAAGACGAAGTTGAAGGTCTGAAGAGAATCATTGAAAATC